TATATATAAATAATAATAAATTATATTATATAAAGGCTCGTTTAGGCTCGCGAGCCTAATCGAGCTTAATGACATAGGCTCGAGCTCGAGCTCGTATAATAAACGAGCTTAATATTAAGCTCGAGCTCGGCTCGGGCTCGTTTAAAATCGGTTTCGAGTCGAGCTTTTAACGATCCGATCCCGAGTAGCTCGCGAGTAGCTTAACTCGTTTGCACCCCTATATTTTAGTTTTAAATATTTGTTATTTCACTACTAATTAATTATTTCTAGTAAATATTTAATGACAACTTATTTGTGAAAATGTTCCCTGACGTATTTCTCGTATTTTATGTATATAAAATAAAAACTTGACATTTTGTATTTATATTTTTGTTTGTTTTTGACATTTTAGATAGACAAAACTGCAAAAATGTTCCCTGGCGTATGACGAAAATTGCCACTTTAGTCCAAAAAGGTTTGGACTAAAACCCTCGCCAACATGCTCTTTGTTTCTTCTACAAAGGAGGGTTTGCTTCGAGCTAGGGTTTGCTGAGGAAGATGGCGTTGGACCTCCCTTTCACAAATCGGAGGCATCAAAACTCCCAAGGGTTTTCAACACCACTTGCATCAAAGATCAAGTCAGAGGAGAAGACGAAGGGCAGCATGCAGTTATAGGTTTTTTTCGGTGATTTTTCCCTTCCAGATCTTGAAACCAACAAGGAACTCCGAAGCTGTAACATGATCAACGAGGTTTCTGTCGGTTGTAGCTCAACGTCTTTGTCGGAGGAGCGAAGGTTTCCGATTCAGAGTCTTTGTTGTTTGTAGATGACCAAATACACAAAACCCTAGCTCTTTAAATATCAATTTGTCTTCCTGATCGAAGGTTAGCAGTAGCAGAGAAAATGGGGGTTGAAGATGAAAACCCTAATCGGAGTGTTCATGGGGTTTGAATTGTGGTGGTAGTATTTTGACATGTGTTGGTGGTAGAAAGGCAGTGGTGGTGACATTAAAAGGAGGCAGTGAAATGGGTGGCACTGGCGACATTCAGATCGGATGTGTTCTGATCAGTGATGGCGGGCTTTCAGAAGCATTCATGAAGTGGTGTAATGACGGTTGTTACCGAAAAATTGATGTTGGTGGTGGTGTTGAACTGGTGGCAGGTGATGGTGGTGGTGGTCTGAAAAATTAGGCTTGAATTCATTAGATTTTTTTTTCATACTCTCTTGTTCTTAGCTCGTGGGGGGTGTTGACATGTGATGGTGGTGGTGGTCCAATGGTAGTCTACTGGTGTTCCAATGGTAGTCCGATGACTGCTCCGGAGTGTTCCCAGATCTCTAGCGACTTGCTTCAGTGAAGTAAAGAGATTAAGTGGAAGAGGGTATAAATTATGGGGGTAGTGGCGGGGTGATTTCTTTTGTCTTTATATATATATATATATATATATATATATATATATATATATATATATATATATATATATAGAAAAATGACAAAGTAATTAAAAAAAGGAAGGGGGGGGGGTGGAAAACACCAAGGGCAAATTTGTCTTTATAAAAAGTTTGAAAATTTTGGACCAAACTCGCAACAAAATCAAACTTTTGGACCACTGATGCTAGTCCAAACCATTTTGGATCAAAGTGATAATTTTTTACATAATGTATGTTTAAAAACGACTAATTAAATAAATAAGTTTATAGAACATTTTTGATAGATGAAGATATATTAGTTATTTTATTTAAAAAATCTATTGGAATAATGTATGTTTAAAAATGATTAATTAAATAAATGAGTTTATAGAACATTTTTGATAGTTTTTTTTTGGGAAAGGCGAGAAAATTTTATAAAAAACAGACTAGCAAGATGCTAAACAAAATTACATATTACAAGCCAAACGAAGAGAAAAACACAACACTAAACTATGTCTTTTAGCTCTATATTTCATCTAGTTAAACACCAAGACTTGAATGTCATCCATAACTTTTTATGGAGTGCACTTTGAATTTATGAAAATAAATGCATTTTTTGCATTCCAAACGCTCCATAACATGGTAAAAATAAAAGCTAATATGAGCTTCAAGAACTGTTTATTCCCACAAGCCTCTTTAAGCAACCTCTTTAGCTACACCAAACTACTTGAAGCAAGCCGTAAAGGCACCACTCCACGAAACAAGTCAATTCCAAATCTCACGAGTAAACGAGTTGTTGAAGAACACATGATCAATGTTCTCTGTAACGTCCGTAGATCCGGGCTAGTCAATTTAGAGATAATAGGGGTCGAAAATGACTTTTTGACAAAAGATTATTTAGAATAAATAATCTTAACCAAGTTGTAGAATACGTCTCAAAGGTTCCGTACATATAAAGAACGTTGAAATCCGAGTTATAACGAAGAAGTTATGGTCCGTCGAAGTTTTACGGCAAAACCGGCACGACATTGGGAGACGTAAATAGTGAATTTACGATGGAGGACTTTTTAGCCTTATAAATCTAAACAAAAGTTGTAGTATACGTTAAACCGAGAACATACAAAAAAGAACGCCCAAATCTGACTTCGTATGAGGAAGTTATGAATTTTCTAAGATTTGGCTTAGCAGTGCACAGCCCGAAACTCGAATTTTAGATCGAGCGGTTTTTGGCCTACGCGAACTAAATGAGAATTGAAGATCTCATTAATAGGAACTTAACGGTAAAAAGACAGACGAAAACTGAGTCCGTATGTAGAAGTTATGAATTTTACGCGAACATTTAACAGTATAATCTCCTCGTACTGTTAAATTTATGATCGGTCGAGAATTAGCCGACGAAGTCAAAATGAAAGTTGTAGATCTTATTTTTATCTACGCATGGATATAAAGAACGTCAAAAATGGAGGTCGTATGTGAAAGTTACGGATTTTAGAAGTCGGAAGTGTGCTGTGCGAAAATGGGTGATGTGGCACAATCTTGGCCATTGCTTTCTCCCCAAGGCAAGCCACCAGAAGGTGACATGTGGCATGGACTCGACGAGTAGGAGGACCTACTCGACGAGTAGAGCTGTTTTCCAGCCTATAAATAGAGGTGCCGGGTTCCCTCATTCTTCACACCATCCCAACTTCACTTTCTCTCTCTATACTCTCTCTCTAGCCCCCAAAAAGCCTAGGGAACCTCCCTAGCACCCGAAGGAAGCCCCGAGGCTCCCGGAGTCCCGATAAAATAGCCTTTCGGCTCGGGAACGCTGCTCCGGCAGAGCCCGGTTTTCGAGAAAACCCGCTGTAAGTGAGCTACGCCTACGCTATTTTTAATATAGCTTTTAATTAATTATAGTAACGTTATTAGGACCTTATAATAATTATTTGGGCTATTATTATGAGTTATATAAGAGTGTTGCTTAACGCTTATATAATAGTAATAATAGCTAGAGTATTAATTAGTCGTGGTTAACGTTAGACTAAACCCTAGTGGTATTGATACTAGGTTTTGTCAAGAGAAAATTGTTTTGAGATAATGAAGTGTCGTCCGAGTACCGAGTCACCACCTTACCAGGTGAGTGCATAGTTACTTTCAGCTTACACATAGATATGAAGTATTTTATATAAATTACGTGTTGTGTGTGTATATTATCTGTATACTTGTTATCTATGCTGGATGAACGATTTTATACATGTTTTAAATGATTTAAACTGTATATGTATTTTATATCTACAAAATGTGTTGGGTAAAACATGGGTAGATGAATAGTTGTTGTGGACAAAATAAAATAATGAGAGGCCTCGTTATAGATGTTATTGATGATCCAGTCATCTAGCGGAGTATAGATGACGACCACGAACTATTCTAGACAGTCCAGTGGAACGCTAGCAAGCTCGCAACCTGTAGGTGTTTATTTGAACTGTGTGTTTATTTGAACTGTGTGCTCACCGGGTGTACTTCATCCCCCTCATGGTTGCCTTAAGAACATTTATTGCTGAGGAATCCCCTTAGCATTAGTGTCCATCCCGATGTTGATCCTTAGTCTAGGTCCCTTATGATAGGTGTTTTAGGGACGTAATGTGAGGATAACGGGAACGGGTAATCGGGTTATTGTTGGTAGATGAAATTAATAAACTTATTTATTGTGGGTTGAAAATCCTATGTGCTTACCAGGCTCCCAAGCCTGACCCACTCAATTTCTTGTATTACAGGTAGTGGCGCATGAGCATAGATGTGATGTCTTGGATGAGAGATTAAGGGATTTTAGGCATGTAAATACGGAATAATGTAGTAAGGCCTATGTTGTATTGTTTATGCTTATGATCTGTATCGAACATGACATCCCGAGTTTTTTTTAATGAAGTACATTTCTTCGGAAATGCTTTGATAACGTATTTATCATGTTTTTCTGGGAACAAATTCCGCAACATTTTTATTAAAAGAGGTACTCTGATTTTTATAAAGCATAAACAAAATCGGTCTTTTCTGGTCGTGAAAAATGGGGATGTCACATTCTCCTCCTCCAAATTGTCGAAGGAACATAAACTAGAGAAGGCATACAAACCTTTCATAGTAAGATTCGATGCGAGAGGAATTCGATTTTTGAAAAGCCTCCATGAAAAACAAGAAACTTTTAAAGGAACCCAATTGCACTTAGGAAAAGCTATCAATACAAGAATCGTTCCCTGTTCCAATCATACTAGAATATAAATTTTAGGGAAGAACTCCTTAAGTGTAACTTTTCTCTCTATTTATCTTTCCAAAAGAAAGTATGATCACAACTATGCACCACTCTCTCAAAAAGATCATCAAGACATATATCATTATCAAGTAATTCATTCTTACTAGATGCAATATTAAGCCAAGTAGCATAGTTGAACCATTGTAATACTCTTAAAGAAAATACTAACAGTTGGATTATTTTAAAAAAATAACATTTTTTACCGGGTGAAATCGAGTGAAAAGACAAAAACCAAAAATTAGATCCATCTTTTAGTTTAAATTGTAACTTCTTTTAGATTTTATCCAAATTATACTAAAAAGTATTATATTTTTATAAGCTATTGCCTATTGGAAAAATCAAACAGGCGATGATTGCAAGTTCACGAGTACCAACAATGGTAATGGTGTTGAGTCCAATCCATTGTTAGTTGTTACCAACCCCAGCACGATTTAAATACTCCCGGCCATCGGCATCAGCCGCCGTCCCCTCCATTTTCATACGCCAGTTTGAAGGTTTTGTTTTTTCTCATTTGTCTTTCCCTCGGCCCTCAGCCCTCAGGTCACGTCATTTGGAAGTTTCTCCTCATTCTTTCTTTATGGTTATACCTTTTTCTTTCATCTTCAACGTAACTAGTTGGAAAATGAACCCCGAAGACGAAGTCAACCTCCACGCATCTCCTTTTTCCTTCCTTCAATCATCTGTCAAACAACCAAACTTTGTATTTCACGTTTGGGAGACCCGACAAAACACCAACAATTCAAGATTTTTTTGGGTTCCAAGAATCATCGTTCGTTGCTCACCAACTGTTCGCCGAATTGTCTAAAAGAAATGGAACACTTTCTTGATTCCAATATTGGATAATTCCGATACAGTCATCTCTTATTCCAGGTCTTCTCTTCACTTTGTGTGTGTGTAAGCGTTCTTTACTTGTGATTGCTTTTCGTCAGCTGGTTTCTTCAAATGGAGGGTAAAAGCCTCTCTGTTATTGTTCCCGACGCTGATGAGGCAAGTAGCAGTGTAACAAAAGATTCCGAAACTCTATCAGAACTCTCTCACTCTACACGTAAATTAGGTGTAATTCTCAGTGAATTTAAGGAAAACAAGATCATGGAGACTTCTCCCATTAGAAAAGCTGTTGACTCTCTTGAAACAGAGCTACAAAGGGCTAAGGCTTTGGTTGCAAGTCCCCTTTATTCATCTTCACCAAACAAGCGAATTGAAGAGATCACAGAAAATCTTGGCAGGTCAATAGGCCTTGTTCTGTTTGCTAGTCATGATGTTTCATTGACTGGTAAAGAAAAACTTGAAACTTTAAGGAGAGAGATGATGAGTGTTGCACAGTTCAGTGTTGCAAGTTCTGATAGTAAATCAGACTTTCTTGATGATGTTGAAACAGAAGAAAACGAGGAAGATGATGAAGAGGAGGAGAATGTTGTTGGAGAGATAGTTGAAGAGGAAAAAGTTGTTTCATGTTCTACTGTTGAAGATATCGTTTTGTACCTCAAGTGTGGAGATGATGAACAGCTAAAACTTGCACTTTTTGCCTTGGACACGTTGATAAAGGATCATAAAGCTACAAATGAATGGATTGATTCTGAAGAAATTGTCCCAATTCTTTTCAATAGGTTAACTTCAGCAAAACCGCTTAATCGCTTGAGTATCATTCAAAATCTGAGATCCCTTGTTGCACAAAATGATGGTATTAAGGTATGTTTCTTCTCTCTTTCACTTCTAGTGTGTGTGTGTGTGTGTAACTGTGTGTTTTACCAGTCAAATAACGTGCAGAGCAAGATGACAGAGGTAGAGTATTTGTCAGCACTGGTCAAATCTTTGACTCGTGAAGAGGAAGAACAGAAAGAAGCAGTAGGCTTGTTATCATCTCTTTCTGATGTTTCTGATGTGAGAAGAAGAATTGGAAGAATTCAAGGATGCATAGTTATGTTAGTTGCTATTTTCAATGGTGAAGATCAACAAGCTGCACAAGATGCAGGAAGATTGTTAGCTGCTTTATCAAGCAATACCCAAAATGCCCTTCATATGGCAGAAGCTGGTTACTTTAAGCCTTTAATAAAGTATTTAACAGAAGGTAACTTCATCAAAGATTCAAAGCCTTTTACTTGATGTATTATTTACTTATTTATTTCCAAGATTTCAAACCCATTAATAAAAATGATTAATTTGATAAATTCTTGCAGGATCTGACATGAGTAAAATTCTCATGGCAACTGCGATTTCAAGAATGGAACTTAGAGATCAAACCATGGCTTCAATTGGAGAAGATGGTGCAATTCCACCTTTAGTTAAAATGTTCAAAGAAGGAAAACTTGAATCAAAACTTTCATCTTTAAGTGCCTTACAAAACTTATCCACATTAAAAGAAAACACACGAAGATTAATAAATTCCGGAATTGTCCCTTCACTACTTCAACTCATGTTTTCTGTAACATCTGTTCTCATGACACTTCGCGAACCAGCTTCAGCCATTCTTGCAAGAATTGCAAAGTCAGACTCCATGTTAGTCAACCATGGAATTGCCCTTCAAATGTTCTCACTTTTGAATCTTTCAAGTCCCATTATCCAACACCACCTTCTAGAAGCTCTAAACAGCATTGCTTCTCATTCTACTGCTTCAAAAGTCAGAAGAAAAATGAAGGAAAACGGATCAATTCAACTTCTTTTACCTTTTCTTAATCAAACTAATCCCAAAACAAGAACAGGTGCCTTCAATTTGATTTACACTTTATCTAAAGAGTTATCCGATGAACTTACAGAACAATTAGGAGAAACTCATCTTCTAATCATTGTAAACATTCTATCATCTTCAACATCCGAATCCGAAAAAGCTACAGCTGCTGGAATCCTGAGTAATCTTCCTGTTAATGACAAAAAAGCTACAGAGATACTCAAAAAGGCTAACTTACTACCTGTTCTTGTGTCCATTTGTTCAAAGCAAACAACTTTATCATCCCATTTGTTTGAAAACATCGCGGGTATACTCATAAGATTTACAATCACATCTGATGTGAAATTACAACTTTACTCAGCTGAAAATAAAGTAATCCCAGTTCTGATAAAGCTCTTATCAGAAGGGTCGATAGTTTCCAAAAGCAGAGCTGCAATCTCACTAGCACAGTTATCAAGAAACAGTTTAAATCTGAGAAAGGCAAAAATGTCAAGATGGTTATGTGTTCCTCCATCTGTGGAATCCTTCTGTGAAGTTCATAATGGTTACTGTTTTGTGAAGAGCAGTTTTTGTTTAGTGAAAGCAGGTGGTGTTCCTTTATTGATACAAGTCTTGAAAGGTAATGAAAGGGAAGGTGATGAAAATGTACTTGATGCTTTATCGAATCTTTTGCAAGAAGAGATATGGGAAAATGGGTGTGGGTTTATTGAGAAATTGGGTGGGATTGAAGCTGTTATAAAAGTTATGGAATTGGGGAGTTTAAAAACGAAAGAAAAAGCAGTTTGGATTTTGGAGAGAGTTTTTAGGGTTGAAGAGTATAGAGTTAAGTATGGGGAATCTGCTCAAGTGGTGTTGATTGATGTTGCACAAAATGGAGATTTGCAGTTGAAACCAATAGTGGCAAAGTTGTTGGCTCAACTTGAACTCTTGCAAGTTCAATCTAGTTATTTTTGATTTTTGATTTTTGATTTTTGGAATATTTTGTTTTGTGAAAATCATTTTTTTGGTTTCTTGATTTTATATAAAAAGGATGTGTTACTTACTATATTGTATTGTACAAATATATGAAAATGAAAATTGTGTTGATTCAGAAGGTTTGGTAATAGAAAGATGTTGGATTTTTTGGAGCCTAATTTTCTATCGAATTATAGAAATATCTTTCAAATACAAAGCCTTTTTCACTGGTATAGATGGGTAAAATTTTGAAAGTTTAATGCCCTAATAAGAAAAAAAAAGTAAAGGTATAATGTTATAATTGGGTAGATTTTTAAAAGTACAGCGCTGTGATAATTGATAGGAAAAAATGAAAGTAGGATGTTATAATATACAAACAAATAAAGTACGTTGCTATTTCTTGCATTTAGCCTTGAAGTATATGACAAAGAACTGAAACAAGTATCCCACATGGATAAAAAAAAATAAGAAGTTTGAATGCCTTACAACTTAAAAGTCTTAATTTTTGTGCTAAAATAACTTGTATCTATATTCAAATTCAAAGATTCCTGTTTATTGTTTAAATATGTTGATGTTGAATTTGAATTTGTGTATCATTTTAATACAAGATACATCCAAAGCAAATGTTAGAAGTCAATATTTGAATTCAAATCCCTTGAACACTAGTTTAATTTGGATAAGATATAGAATGGCATACGAGAATCTTTTTGAAGTTGAATTTGATACTTATGCTTTCCATGACATAATAAAGCTTGATCTGATTGGACTAAAAAAGTCAAGCTACTTAAATCCGATGTCAACAAGTTGAACAACCTATCAGGCTATTACACCTGAATATTGTATAAGTCATTGATAATATAATATGTAAATGTCTTTCAAGTTCATAAAGCCAATTCAAACACATCATATATCATCTAGTCCTAACCCTAAGCATTAAACTGAAATATCAAAACAAGATAGTTCCCTGCAGTGTTACTTCTTGTTAAACTACATTCAATGCTTCGACAATCAAATCCACTAGAGTGTAGAAGGTTAAGGATGCTTAAACAGTTCACAAGAATCCTTGCAAAGTAATAGTAAGGCTTGTAGGGTTTAGAAATAGGTAAGTAGTGCATGAGTTTGAGGTTGGTATTTAATGGTGTTAGTGAGAGAAAAAGACAGTGTGAGTGCCTTCATATCCACACTAAAGCCACCACTTGGCAAGCTTTTTCCAGAGTAGTGGGATTGGAAAAAGGACTTCTTGTTTTTTGATAGTTGCAGTGGGGCACTTTCAGAGTTTAGTCAAGTAAGATGGGTTCCACCATTAGGACAGGTATGGTGTATAATGTGCCTATTCAAAAAGTGTGTCCATGAGCTTCCCTATGGTCGGTTGATTTTGTAGGCCCATGCTAAAAATAAAAATGGGCCCCTAAATATAATTTTATTCATATAAACAAAGATCATTGATAAGTAATTGTAATAAAATTAATCAAAACAAAAATATGTCACTAAACGTTTGAACCCACATCTACATCTGACATCCATGGAATTGTTGTGTACAAGTTGAAGTCTCGAGTTTGAAGATGACATTGTGGTATTTGACAATTGGAGTTGGCGGAGGATTTTGCAAAAAACAGGAACAAGGATTGCCTTATGACTCATTTAGGGCTTCATAAATAACACTCTATAAATGTGGAGTTTATGCGCACTATGTTGCTCCACTTCATCTGTGTCTCGTAATCTATAAAACTTGATATCTGGTTTAAATTTGGATGGTTCCCCTATTTAAAAGGAGAATGTTATTGTGCAAAAAAATAACATTGATGACCAAATTGGGACAAAACACATAGTTCCTTGTGCTACAATGTTGTTTTCCCAAGCTGTTGCTACAGATCCAAGGTAATCACAAGACTGCATTTGAGATAAATGACACAGCTAACAGTTACAAGACGCATCATGGGAGCTCACTTGCATGTAAAACATATCCAAGACCACACTGTTTTAGTAAAGAATCTGAAATTTACATTTGCTTGAATATGTAATGTGATGTGAGTTATATTCAAAAACTCTTCATCTTTTTCTTTCTGATTCCACAAGATCTTCGATAAATCAATCTACTAATAACACAGAAAGTTGTTGACAGATTTACCATTTCATATCTGAATGCTTCAAGCAATCAATCATTCATATAATACTTACTACCTACTAGCTACAAGCTACATGGGTACTGTAAGGGCCTTCTGATCCAAAATACAACAATGGATAAATGCCCTTTCAATACACCAACATGGATAAAAAAAAACAAACAGAGAATTAAGTGTAAACATTTATATATAATAAACATATGTAAATTTTGGTATTCTACCAGTTATTCTTCATCATAGTCTTCATCTTCCTCATCCAACCTTGAGTTAATTTGTCCTAGATTTCCAGTGTCAATCACCATCCTGTCCATTTCTGAAAGCGACCCCCCAAGATAATCTTCGTTTTTAACTTCAACCGCCTCTGAACCACCATCTCCACCACCACCACCAGCAGGAACTGAATCTGGCGGTGGTGGTGGCTGCTGCAGCTGTGGCGGTGGTGGTGCTCCTCCGTCTAACCCATCGGATGCTTTCTCCATGTTCTCATCAACCCCAGCATTCAAATCAAAGTCCCGACCACCATCACTGATCGCGGTGGCAGTAGCGGTGGCGGCGGCGGTGGTGGTGGAGGTTGGTGGAATCAATGGCGTGCAGGATTCGAGTTCAATATCTGTTTGGGGAGCCTCTCTATCTGCTGAGCTTCTCCCCCGGCCCCTGCCCCTTCCTCTACCCCGCCCTCTGCCCCTACCATTGCTGCCCGTTTGCCTTGCTTCATTCTAAAACAAAATGAGTGAAACATTTCAAATTAAATATTAAATAATAGATACGAAAAGGGTATATACAATTACAAATTATGGAAAAAAGAAGAAGGGAGTTTTAGTTTTACCATCCTGTTTCTTTTCAACTCTTCATCACTTTCATTTGTTTCATCAGCAGCAATTTTCCTATGAAAAGAAAAACAAAATAAAAATGAATTTCACATTTTTTCATTTTTCATTTTTCATTGGCATTGAATAAATAATCTTAAAATGGATTTACGAAAGTAACTTACTTCCTCTTTACCATGGTACGATCATCACCAGAACCAACAGCACCACCAGCAGCAGCATCAGAATGGCCATAGTCAGGGACCTTGCTCACAACTTCCCTCAGAAAATCAAATACATTGTAGCTTTGTACACAGTGCTTTCTGAACTCAACAAATCCATGTGTTTTTAACAAGGTAATTTAACAGAAAACTGAATTTTAAGAAATGGAAGGAGGACTTACAAATGCAGTGAATTAACAGTTTTTGCACCTCTGCGTAGAGTTATATCATATGTTCTATCACAAAGATCTTGCAGAAACAATTCCAAAGCTTTGGCTGGATAAATAATATTACAAAACAATAACAAAGTAAGAAGCAAGAACAAAGTGTGTGGTTAATAAAAGGTGATACTAGAAACTTACAAACTAAAACTGGAACAGCCATGGCGATTTTTCCAACATCTTCATCAGCTTGCATTATCTTTTTGATCCGAGCCTGCATATAATTACTCCAAGGTATCAGATTACATCCTGCAGATACTTAAACAAACCAATTGATTTTCAGATGTTAATTTACACCAACAACAATATTCCCTTTGTGCTAGGTCATTTTTTTTTCTAAAGAAGGCTGTGAATCCATATTAATTTGAAGTTAAAAACGTGTCAAAAGCAACAATTATGATTAGGATATCAGTAATCCTAAAGCGAAGTAAAGATCTAAGATCTTCCATAGGAATAAGCTACGATTATAGCATCTTCAATACCACACATACTACAAACACCGGACACCGAAAGCGTATGCTTATCATGTGTAATTGCATAAAACCTGGAAAGAGGAAAACTTACAGCAGGGAAACGCGTATCGAGCTTCTTCTTCATGGCGTTGATACACCAACAAACACAAATTGAACAATTAATTTAAGAGGAGATTCAACAAAGAGCGCGTGAGAGGAGATCTGATCTCTAAGAATCACAGTGGCCGAGAAGTCTCGGCGTTGCAGATCTGGTTCGTAGTTTGGATCAGATTCGAGTTACCACATCCAGTAATTTCACAGATCCGTAAAGGCTCGAGCTTGGAGAACATCAGAAAAAGGTTGAGAAAAGATACGAAATAAAAGAAAGAAAGAGATGATAATGTTTTTAATTATATTACTTTTTATTTTTATTTTAGAATTTATTTATATTTCTAAAAATAACTTTTGAACTATATGTTATAATTTTTTTTTTCATAACAAAAATTTGATTACGAGTTACCAACAAATTAATTTATTTATAAGTATATAATAAGCTAATTGATTAAGAGTTACCAACAAATTCATTTATTTTTAATTTTAAGTACCTAATAAGTCTATTTTTTTATTATATCTGTAGATATGTCTCTTGAAATATAAATTGACTTGATATATAATTTTTCTACATTCAATTTGTTTTTTTTTCATGTTAATTTAATTTTTTACTACTTACTAACTATTTATTAAAAGATTGATAATATGACAATTGTTTATTTATTTGTAAAATAGGCAAACATCAAGGTTGTCATGATCATAGTCATTAACTGAAGAATATATTAGGATCGGAAGATCTTATCAAAATGAATTAGTCTTCAAATTTGCTTGTAAGATCAATGTCATTTATAACTTGATGTTGGTTAAGACATTAATTGTGAAATCAACTTTAGCTTCTTTAACATTAATCATATATCCGTAGATGCAAACAACAACAATTACAAAGAAAACATCTTAAGCATAAAATAAAGAGGATCATCAAAGACACAAGATCACAAAGGAACTAACCCACATGTTGTACTATTGTGCCTAATTAATAAATGGATGAAGTTTTGATGCTTTATGAGGTTTCTTTTTATCTACAATGTTCAATTTTCAAGTTGAATGCACAAAATTTTAAGATTCGAAAATGAACAACTTTTTACGCATTACATGGTTTTGTTTTAGCAAAATGGTGAATTTATTAAGGTTTAGAAGACTAATGACT